CGGAGAGGGATCTCGAGGGGGATCTGGGGCGGCTCTTTTTATGTGGCTTGTGTCTGTTTTGATGTTTTGTCTGGTCTTGTTTTTTAGGAAAAACAGAAAAGACGAAATAACCAACAACACTGAACCATCATATACGCCCTAAACCCCAAACCTTCAACCCCCAAACCACGAAATCCTAAACCCCTGAAACTACCCCAGAGGAGGAATAATTCGGAGTGTTGAACCTGAAGTCCGAGGCAAGGAGCCAACTTTAAGTTTCAAGGAAGGCGTTCGCGTTCAACTGTTCCGACAGACACTCTGATCCTACAGAAACTCTGATACATTTCCCGTGGCATTGTTTCCGGCACTTTGGTTTAGGGTTTAGGGTAGGTATATGAGCTAGGGTCAATATCAGGCTTGCCAAGGTACCATCTTTGGTGGGCATGTGGTTCCCTTTGGTAGTTTATTGTTGTCCCTCGTGTCTTCCCTGTTGGGCATATTGACCGCAGCCCCATGGAGTGCCGCAAGTACCAGCAGACTGGCAAGGTCCAGGTAAGCAAAACGGCCGCCACCCCTTCTCAGACATTTGCCTTCATATGTAGCTGTATATTACATTGGGAGTATTTGTCGCCGGGGGTTTGGGCTCGGGGGGTGTTCTCATGTAGGAGCGTAAACAATTACAAATATTACAGGTTGAAAGTTCTTTTAAAGTTCGAGCAGTGCCGAAAACAGTACCGAAAACAGGCTTTAGCATGATATTAGTAGTTATTGAGGCCGCTAGGTGAAACACCAGCCAGCCTTCCTGGCGACACTTCTAGCATCACTAGAACAGACCCTAAGCCCTAAACCTTCAAAAGCTCCTGTAATCAAACTAGGGTTGAGGGTTCTAGGATTTGGGTTTTAGGGTTCAGGACTTTGCGTTCAAAATTTCAGCAAATTCCCAACGCAAAGTTTGCCTGCGAAAGGGGCTGCCTATTTTGGATCTTAAGCCTTAAGCTCTATACCCTCCGCTGAAAAAGAGGGTTTAGGGCTTAGGGTTTGGGAGCGTCTTTAGTCCCCAAACCCTAAATGCTGAGCCCTAAGCCCTTAACTCTCCAGGCATTCGCAGGAACCTGGGGCAAGCTCAAAGAGCGAGAAGCGGAGGTGCAGGGCCTGGAGCTTCGGCTTGCGCGGACTTAGGGATTTAGGGTTAAGGGGACTTAGGGGTGTTAAGAATGAGAATAGTGGAGAGTCAAACGGAAAAGGGCATCAACACCGAAACGGAAAGGTGGCTTGAAGGAGGTTTGTGCGGGATTCTACCGCAAGGACTGAATGATTAGAACACTCATGTATTGTCACATAGAAAATACCGGAATAGTTTAGGGCAATCCCTCTATAGTAATAGCTGCTTAATATGGAATTACAAGCCCACCGGGTGGCGCCTAAGCCCCCCAGCCTCTATGGCGAAAGGTTTCAACCTAGCCCCCTCAGCACAGCCATGGTTGTGGCAGCCTTGCGAACCAGCAAAAGTCATTACGCGATGAAGGCTCTCGTTCTGTCCTATGGGCTCTCAGGACCCCCACTACCTGGTACCCCACTACCCATCTAGACCCAAATGCAGAAGGAATATGGCCTTAATAGTAGGGGTACCAGGTAGTGGGGGTCCAAGGAGTTCCTAGGATTCTGGAGGGCGCTACCTGTCCTGGAGGTCCAGGCCCAGCAGCCCCAAAGCACGAGAAACCAAAGCACCGCATGCGGCGGGCCTCTCAGGGCATCCCAGAGCTCCACAGGGTTTAGGGTTTAGGGTCTAGGGTTCCTCCCAACCTCTCACTTCTCGCAAGACCTCCCAAGGCCTCCCGAATTCTAAATTTTGCTGTAGCAAGATGCGACCCGCCCGTCATTAACCTTACGAACCCTATTACTGGGGTCCTTGGACCCTTAGGGTATACGTACGTGCTATCATTTTGCATATAGTTGGGTTTAGGAACCAACCCAAAACACAGAACCCTGAACCAACTGACTGCGTCCGAGTCCCGGTCCATGGCCCAGGCCCTTCAACGAGGTAGGCTGTTTGAGCCCTACACCCTCCACCCAAGAAACCTAAACCCCAACAACCTTAAACCCTCTAAACTTTAAAACCGGAAAACCTTAAACCCTACACTCTAAAGACCTTAGAAATTCATTATATACGGGATCGTCGCCTGTCCCAAGGAAGAGTTCGAGTCTGCTGGGTTTCCCCTTTTGCAGCAGGACCGCCCCGTCCTACATGACATGAACAACTTTAAGAGTAGAGAGTATCGGTTTAGGGCCTTAGGTGTTTTAGGGTTTTAGGGTTTAGTGTTTAGGATCTACGGTTTAGACCCTAGAGTTTAGGGTTTAGGGGTCTAAGGTCTAGGGTTAAAAAAACAAAACGACCTTACACCCTAAACCCTACACCTGAGTATTATATGAGGTTGCGGTCCCCCGTATAGTAGGCCGCTAGTATGTAGAGCCCGAACATGGGCCACAATTTTGACAACCCCCTCCAGATGACTGGTAGAGTTGCTAGAGCCATCCTATTGGGGGTGCTCCCAAGCAAAACTACCGCAAAGTTTAGGGTCTAGGGCTTAAGGAAGAAAACACAAAATGCTGCAGCAGTTCAGGGTTTAGGGGTTTAGGGATTTCCAGAGACCTTACTTATACGTCCTCTGGGTTCAGCAGTGAGTTCCCTTGGCTATCGGCAGGGAGGCGGAGGCAACTGATTTGCGCTTACCACCCCCAAAGTATGTAAAATAATGGCCCTTTATGGCCGCTATGATGGGTTTAGGGCTATCATGTCACATACTTTGGCTACTCCACCAGCAAGTAGCCCGCCAAACAGAAGCACGTACTCAGTTGCAACGTCTGGCAAAAGACCGGCAGGTCTTTTTGGACGGCTGGGTCGAATACCTGCAAACCCTGACGGGGACCGTCGAGCAGCAGGTTACCAAGATGGCACAGGTCTTGGCGAATTTCGACTCGGCCGAGACACAGTGGCAGTCACAACTGTCGGATGCCACGGAGCTGCTCTCTCGTGCAGGAGGCCGTACTTCCTCTGCCCCCAGAAGCCTGGAGGCGATGGAAGAGGAAGAGACCGCAGTAGCCCTGAGGCACAGCGAGAAGGCTCCGGAACTCCGCGCAGGAGGCCCAAAGACGAGGACGTGGTCGACTTGGAGAAGCCGCCCCCTCGGTAGCCCCACATCTACGCACCACATGTGGTTCAGGTGCGGCGAGTGCCGTCCCAGCACATCAGATGATGTTGCAAGATTATGTTGTGTCTGAAGAAGATAATCTTTCAGAATTCTTGGCTAGTCTCATTGGTGCTACATGACATCTGGACCTTTGTTGGAGTGATGTAGGTGTCATCCCTTCTTTGATGGACCCACGCTTGCTTCCTGACTCTTTGGAAGAGATTACAGAGTATGACGACTATCCAACAGGGACCCCCGATCAGGCCTTGCTCCCCGCTCCTGAGATCAGCCATGGGAAGGCTGGACCCTAGGTCCTGAGTTATAAACCCTAAACCTCAACCCTAAACCCTAAACCTAAACCCTAAGCCTTGATACACACCACCGCAAGAGTAAGTAATTACAGCTAAGCCGTCCTAGTGCGCATGGGGCAAGGAGAGTCTTCAGCCTTGGCCCGTCCTCTCCTCCAGAATTTAAGCTCTCTCAACCTCAAGCCGATTTAGGATTTTGAGATTAGGGCCGAGGGCTTGGGGTTTGGAGCTTAGGGTTTTGGGATTAGGGTTTTGGGTTTGGTGCCTACATTGGAATTCCTTCACCAGATATGATATGATGCAAAAAAAAACATGGTTTTCGATTTCATGCTTCAAGCTTGGACTTTCTGTACACACGCTTCAACAATTCCAACATGTACTGGTTCTCAGTAGAGAACAAGGTAACCGCCGTGTAATCCTTATACAATATATTCCCATATTCCCCCGAAACCCTACACCATAACACTGAACCCTAAACCCTAAGAACCGGTAAGTAACGACAGGCAGATGGCAGCCGCCCGTTTCGTATCGCCATCAACGGCATCATATGACGGGACACATACAACGCAACCCCTTACCCAGATACCTAGCTCTATGGGTCCAAGGACCCAAATAATAGGGCTTCAGGTCCCAAATGCCATTCAGACTATAGTTGTTGGGCAAGCCCTATTATTTGGGTCCTGGTACCCTTAGGATATAATAGGTGATGCTTCGTGTACGAACAGCCAGCCCAGCGCAGTACAAAGAATAGCTGTTGGCATTGTATGGGGGGGCTCGTCCTTATCAATTTGTCCCAGGCGAAAATGAGCTTAGGCCAATAGGTCCACCAGCTCGTGAAGCCAAAGAGCCCGTGGGTACTGCCCCCACCCAGCAACAGGTGCATAATCATGATGATATGAACATATACAGCCCTATACCCCCCTTCCCATTTTAGACGGTTACTGGGTGGGAGCAGTACGCAGAAGAGCCCTCACAGCCTCCCTCATACAAACTCGAAATGCGCGGCCTTAGCCCTTTTAAGCCCTAGACTCTAAACTAAAGAGACTTCAATGGGAACCCCAAAACAAGGAACGCCAAGGAAACCCAAGAATAAAGCAAGAATAGAATAGGAGTATACCTACCAGGTTCCTTACATTCCTATGACATGCCTACCATAGTCTTGGGTATCCTTTTTGGGGCTCCCGTTGCTTGTATAAGCCTTTCACCAGGTCCTGCAGGCTAGCACAGTGGCGGAGATCGTGCTAGGCTTCTGGATTATAGCCGCGCCCTCAGCTGTAGATGCTGGATCTGCGTTCTCAGCCAAGACAGATAATGTGGGAGTAGCTTAACATCTGCATTTTCGAGGCCCAAGAAAGGGAGTCCCTGATTTTGAAGGGCCACGCCATTTAAATGTCTAAGTGACTTAGTGTCGTTCTTTCAACCATGGCGTCAAGATACCTCAAATCATGCCTCAATAGGCTATTCGACATTGCTAGGCCCCTCCCCCCGGTGGGAATTCGGGTTCGAGTTATCTTAGCACTCAAGATCCAGATGGCCGTTTCTCACAACGGTCCCCAAAACTCCGCTAGGGAGACGCCACAAAGTCTCCAAGGTCCATTTCTAGGGGTATTGTCTTTTTGAGAAGGTTTTCTGTAGGGCTTTGTGGAGAGTCCAAACCCATGGACGGCAGGTTGTGAGATTAAAAAAGGACGGATTCAGGGTCTGAAGGTATAGTCCCCTTAAGTAGATAGAATATAGGGTACATGGGGACCTCAGTATAATATGCCCAATTCCATATGCTATCTACTTAAGGGTCACCATAGACCCTTCCCTTTTCAGATTCCATGCTGGTTCGTGAGAGGTAGGTTTTGTGGTTTTCAAGTGTTTCTATGGAATGTTGACAAAAACCTTAAAGGAGCCCTAGGTGCTCAGACGGGAAAAGTCCCTAAACCCTACACCCTGAACCCTAACCCTAAGGGTCCAAGGACCCAAATAATAGGGTTTTAGGGCCCAAATACCATTAATATTATAGTATTTGGGCCCTATCGTCCTATTTTTGGGTCCTTGCACCCTTAGGGTAAGCCCTAAACCTAAACCTCAGCCTCGACCCTCCGCCCCAACCCCAGCCGAAACTGCGCACGTTCCTAGACGGCCAACACAAGCCCTTATAGTCCCCCGAAGTAGATAGAACATAGCCTTGGGTATATCATAATAAGATCCCTATATACCCCATAGACTATCTACTTAAGGGGGACTATAGCCTGAAACCTTCCCTTCTAGCCCCATTTATGTCCCAAAGCCCTAAACTTCACAAGTGCATGCCCTGAGCCGAACAGACCCTCAAAGTCCCAGCAGTCAAAGGTTCCAAGGGTAGCAGCAATGTAAGGCTGGAACCCTGAAACCCTTGATGAAGACAGATACCCGCCTAACCCTCAAACCTAAACCCCTAAATCCTATACCTCTCATCCCTCAACCCTATACCCCTAAGCCCTTAACCCCTAAATCCTATACCCCTAAATCCCTAAACCCTATACCCCTAAACCCTTAACCCCTAAATCCTATACCCCTAAATCCCTAAACCCTAAATCCCTGAACCTTAAATCCAGCCAAGCCAAAAGGTTAGCCTCTTGTTTCCTTGGCGGCAGTTCCTGATCGTCATCCTGTGACCTCGACGAAGGGGTTTAGGTATTTAGGGTTTATATGGTTTAGGGTTGAGGATTTAGGGTTTAAATGGTTTAGGGTTTAGGTATTTAGGGTTTATATGGTTTAGGATTTAGGATTTAGGGTTTATATGGTTTAGGGCTTAGGATTTAGGGTTTATATGGTTTAGGGTTTAGGATTTAGGGTTTATATGGTTTAGGATTTAGGGTTTAGGATTAAGGGTTTAGGATTTAGGGCTTAGGGTTAAGGGCCAAGGATTTAAGGTTCAGGGTTTCGGATGTAGGGCCCAGGGACCGAGAGTGCAGGTTTCTCCCACATTCAAGTATTTAATGGCTTCTTTTCTCAGACCTCATACACAGGGGTGTACCCCTAAACCCTACACCCTAAACCCTGGGGTTTGGGGTTTAGAGTTTAGAGTTTAGGGTTTTGGGTTTAGGTGTATGTAGGCTACATGACTTGTGGCGCCCTGGTCACCTGGTCTTACTAGCGGTTTAGGGTTTAGGGTTTAAGGGGACCCCACACATAAAGGGCTACAATACGGTTATGATGGGCGTGCTGAGGGGATTAGAATATTATGTACCCAAGATTCAGCGGAACCACGGTTCCGGAATCGAGGTGGTTTAGGCTCTATGTTGCTATAGCCTCGAAGCCCTAAACCCTAAATCTGAAACCTTGAACCCAAAACCGCAGAGTCTACAATCGTAATCCTAGTATGAAACACTATAAAGAAGCGTGTATAATATCTCCATGGTGTCCATTGGGGTATGGTTCTGCGAAGGCCCAAACCCTCAGCCCCCAATTTAAGTCCTTTGAGTGCTCCTGTTTGCCCTAAACTCTCATCCCAAAACCCTGAAGCCCTTAACACACCGTTAAACCTTGTTCATCCCTGGACGCCCCGCATAAATAATTACTTCTAAGGTGCTCCTCATTTTGACGTGCAAGCCTTCCTAAACCCCCACGGCCTAAACCGATCTAAGTCTACCACTACATGAACCCTTCCCCAAATGTAGTAGCGGGCTTGCTTTGGGGCGGTTCTATTTTTGCATCCTATAGGTTCTAAGCACGCAATTGTAAACTCTGAGCGCTAAAGCTCAAACCCTAGAAAACTATCGTAGCACCAAGCTTACTTTCCTTCACTTTGGAAGGTACTGGAACTTCTTGAGACAGCGATACCAGGCCACGTTTGCATTGTGGTTTATTAGTAGCTGTAGCAGGAGTTTAGTGTGTGACTTCTTAGAGCAGTGGTGGTGGTGGTGGTGGTGGTGGTGGTGGTGGTGGTGGTGGTGGTGGTGGTGGTGGTGGTGGTGGGGGTCGGGGTCGGGGTCGGGGTCGGGGTCGGGGTCGGGGTCGGGGTCGTGGGCGTGGGCGAGGGCGTGGGCGTGGTTGTGGGGGTGGTGATGGCGACGGCAGTGGTAGCAGTGGTACTAAACTACCTGATGCGCCTTGAATCGATTGTGGGTCAAACTGCTGGCTTTCTTACCGTCGGAGGTGTGAGCTGTGTAGGGGTGCGGTGTAGTGCGGTGGGGAATCCTCACTGTTATCCCTTGCTCTATAACAACTTAGAGGTTCTCGCTGCGCAGCTTCCTGACGCTTCCGCGGAAGCACTGGCTTTCAAAGTTGTATTTCGCGAGTTCCGTTCAGACAGGCAGATTGCCTTGCGTTCGCTCCCAGAAAACCGCTGCGAACTTCTCACGGCCTATGCCGCACACTCTTGGGTTCTATGAGGCTGTCTTGCTCGTCAAGCGCTTGTGCCGTCCCATACGCCCTACTTAGGATCCGTTCTACGACACTCGGCATCTCCCCTGGGCAGACATGACGGGAGCGTTGGGCTCCTGAAGACATTGTTCGAGGTCAATGTAGACCCTGAGGCAAACCTGGATCCCAAGAATAGGTAAAATCATAGCCTGAACCCTTCCAAAAAACAGACCAACAGGCAATCATTTTGCATATCTATTTATTTTGGGGTACAGCAAGGATACTGTGCTTGGAGAGGCCCTAATTCTCCTCTTCAGCCTTGCCCTTTCCCCAGTGTTACAGTGTCACACGTCAAAGAGCAAGTGTTGCCTCTCAAAAATATGGATGCCCTCAGGAACCCCCGAAATATGCAGGGATTCATCCCCTCCCCCGAATACTATAGTACTACCTCCCACCTCCTAACAACAAATGCGCCCAATAAGGCACCATTGCACAGTTGGGGGGTCATGCTTATCATCGGGGTATGTTTAGGGGAGGGGATTAAGAGCCCCAGACTCAAATTTAGCCCGCATATAGTCTCTGTACAACGCCACATGTCTATAACCCTGAAGATTTGTATGGGAAGTATAGATTTCTCGGAGCCCCAAACCAAACTTTCAAGCCCCAAAGTGGCTAGTAGTGGAGGTCTTAACGTCCCTGAGAGTTTAGGGTTCAGGGCCCAACAACTGATTCCCTAACAGCTCCACGGTGCAGATTCGAGCCTCCCAAATCCTGAGGCCGTCAATCATGAAATCGAAGCCCAAGACTTACCTGGATTCCAAAAGTAGGTAACATAATAGCCCAAAATATATGTAAATAGCCCAAAAGGCCATTCTTCTACATACTTTGGGGGTTCAGGTACTGTTGATAGAGAAATTCTTGTACCACGCTTAGCCCCTTTGGTCTGCAGGGATTACAATGCAGTAGGTACCGCAGGTGCTTTCAACTCTTTGCCCGCCTAAAGCCTAGACCCCATACCCCAAATCCTGAACCCCAAACCCTCATTGCTTCCATCCTTAGCCCTAAACCCTAAAACCCTAAACCCTAAACTCTAAACCTCCAACCCTAAACC